CAGCAAATCATTTAATTGCTTCATTATATGGTTGCAATCCCTTCCATGCACGGACAGTTAGCAGCATTTACTTCTCTTCACTTTAACCACTGCATTCCTCCCTGTGTCTCCCCGCCACCCCCATCTTTCCTCTCCCAACTTTCCATCAGTTGTATATTGCCTGCCCTGTCACCAGTGTCAACGAGTGTCTATTCTCTAGCCTATGTATCATTTCCTCTTCCCCCCAAAACCATCATAGATTGTTTCCCCCCCCTTTTATAACTTGTAAAAAAAAACAAAAACCACTCAAGGATATAAAATCATTTAAACATCAAACTTTAAATCTTAGTTTTTTCTGGTATTATGCCTATCCAAGCTTCTGTCGTGATGCCTAGGCTTGAATATTTCAGGTAGAGAAGAAAATGAAGCCTCACACAAGTTAATAAATCCAAGGCCAATAACTGTCAGAGTTAGGATATACAGGACTGCATCTTTATGATTTCTTGGTGATGGGAAAGGGGAGCACGTCTCTCTCTCTCTTTTTTAAAAAAATGTTTTATTGTGAATTATGTGATAGTTTACATGGAAGAACATTAGCTTTACATTCATCCTATTGTATATAATTTCATTGCCATGGTTACAATCCCCTCCATGCATCATCAACCAACCAAAGGGTGCAAGCCTGCCTCCCAGTCATCAGCACACAGCCCCTCTCCTTCTCTGGGTCTAGAGTCCCCAGCTGCTCCATCTCTCCACATCATTGTCTCTGCCTCCATCTCTGGCATCACTGTTTCTCTGAGTAGGGTCTTGCACTCTGTTTTTCTCCCTTGATGGTCCTATGGACCTCCGCTCTGGACTGCAAAGTCGGTCACTCCCCTCCTTTTGCTACAAAGTGTCTACCTTTACATTTCCAACCCTCTTAGTCCTGATAGCAATTATTCACTATTGTGTCACAAGAAAACTATCCCCATCTCCTGTCATCAGCCCTGCCCAGACAGATTGGATACTACTCAGTGGAGATTCTACGTTCCTCCGCGCCCTCTGGATCTAGGCTCCCTCTTGAAATCTTGTAAGCCAGTCACGTCTTGCCTTTGTAGCCTCCCCATTTTGGGTAGCCAATGTCCAAGTTGCCCATCCCTGTCTACTCTGTGTAGCTAGGGGTTGGGAATGATTCTCGCTGTAAAGATTTATTCCCTGTTTTGAGCTACTGCATCTGTAGGTGTACGTCAGGTTCATCAAATTGTATCAGATTACTCTTTTTTTCCTCTTCTTTTTTCTTCTAGTTGAGTTGGGATCATCCAGCTATTGAAGCCAGGTCAAGTGGGTATTACCTGCAAGTTTGGATGTTCTTATGCATATGCCCTCTCTTCTTAACAGCTGGACGCTGCACTCTCCACTCTAGTCCTCTGTGGCTATGTCACTGACTCTGGGTGAGAGCACGTCTCTTAAGAATTATTTGGAAACTTTTTAAAAAAAATCCTTAATCCTCTTTTCTCTCCTCCCCTGTAATTCATTATTTTGTAATTTTTAGTTTATGGTAATAGCTACATCCAAAATGAAAATAATGTATTTTCTCATATATCCCTAAACCAGACCCACCGTCATTGAGTTGATTCTGACTCATAGCAACTCTATAGGACAGAGTAGGGTTTCCGAGACTAAATCTTTATGGGAACAGACAGCTTCATCTTTTTCCCATGGGTGGAGTAGCTGGTGGATTTGAAATGTGGATCATGACAAGCTATGGATAGCATTGTGGACAATGAGTATTCCAAAACACACTTAATTTTGCTCTTGAGGATTCTCTACGTAGACCAAGAGGCAGTTGTTGGAACAGAGCAAGGGAACACTGAATGGCTTAAAATTAGGAATGGTGTGTGCTGGGGTTGTGTTCTTTCCTCATTCTTACTCAGTTGTTATGCTGAGCACATATCTGAGAAGCTGGATTATATGAAAACGTGGCATCAGGATTGGAGGAAGACTCATTACCACCTGTGATGTACAGATGCTATAGTCTTGCTTGCTGAAAGTGAAGAGGACTTAAAATAATTACTGATGAAGATCAAAGACCACAGCCTTCAGTATGGGTTGCACCTCAATGTGAAGAAGACAGATATCCTCGCCACTGGACTGATAATGCAATATCAATGAAAAAATGGAAATTGTGAAAGACTTCATTTTGCTCGGATTAACCATCAACACCATGGAAGCAGCAGTCAAGAAATCAAATGACATATTGCATTAGGCAAATCTGCTGCACAAGACCTCTTTAAAGTGCTGAAGAGCAAAGATGTCAGTTTGCGGACTAAGGTGCACCTGATCCAAACCGTAGTTTTTTCATAACCTCATATGCATATGAATGTTGGACAGTGAATAAGGAAGACCAAAGAAGAATTGATGCATTTGAGTTAATGGTGTTGTTGTTAAGTGCCATTGAGTTGGTTCCTATTCATAGTGTCCCTCTAGAGGTTTTCTGAGGAGTAGCTGGTTAGCTTGAACTGCTGACCTTGTGGTTCAGACTGACCTTGCAGTCCAGCGCATTAACCTGCAGCAGCACACCAGGACTCCCGAAAATATTAAAAGTACCATGGACTGCCAAAAGAACAAACAAGTTTGTGTTGGAAGAAGTACAGACAAAGTGCTCCTTCTAAGGCTTGGTGTCCAGACTTCCTCTTTCATTGTTTGGAAGTATTATCAGGTGGCACCAGCCCCTGGAGAAGGATATCATGTTTGGTAAAGTGGAGGATAGGAGAAGAGGAAGAACTCCAACGAGATAGATTGGCAAAGAGGCAGCAGCAGTGGGCTCAAACATAGCAGTGATTAGGAGGTTGGTGCATGATCGAGCAGTGATTTGTCTGTTGTGCATACATTTGCCACGAGTTGGCACCGACTGGATGGTACCTATCAACAACATTCTAGATGAGAATTAAGAAAACTGGAATTTAAGCACTAGCTAGAGTCTACTGCAGTCATATTTAGAAGCTAGAATTGGTAGTGTGTAAATGATAGCTAATGGGGGTTCTAAGTATGTTGGTATTTGGGGAAGTTAACATAGGATCTTTTTTCCTTGCCTGAGTCTGAACTGACTGAGGAATAAATCACAAAAACCGTCAGATTAACAAACAAATAAACTTGACCCTTGAAGGACATGAATTGAGCTGACCTGCGGGTCCACTTAAATGTGGATTTTTAAGTGTGACAGTTTCACACATAGTAAGTGTTACCATTTCAAGGTAAATGACTCCAATGTAAGGATCACTCTAAGTAAAGAAAGGATATTCCTAAAGTTGATGCAGTTACACCAGCAGGCATGAAAACCTTGCGCATTTTGTGAAACACTTCTTTATTTTGTAATGAAAGTACAGCTTTTATGTGGGGCAGTATAATACATAAGGTGGTTATGGTGGTGGTGATGTGCCGTGGAGTCGGTTCTGACTCATAGCGACTCTGTACAGGGTTTCCAAGGCTGTAAATCTTTATGGGAGCAGAAAGCCTCATCTCTCTTCCGTGGAACAACTGGTAGTTTCGAACTGCTGACCTTGTGGTTCGCAGCCCGATTAGTAACCACTACGCTACCAGAGCTCCTTTAACAGTAGACTGTTAGTAAGAGTTTTGGGAAGTTAATGTTATATGTGGATTTTTGGTTGTGGTGGAGGGTTGGTGCGTCTAACTCCTGTGTTCTTTAAGGTTTTAAGGGTCATGGCTTTTATTGAAGTAATATTTATATACCATACATTTTAGTATTTTAAAGTGTGCAATGTAGTGGTTTTTAGTATACTAGGACGTTCTGGTGTGGCACTGTGGGATAATGCACTGGACCACAAGGTTGATTTGAAGCACAAGGTCGACAGTTCAAATTCACCAGCCGCTTCTCAGAAACCTTATCTATACAGGGTTGCTGTGAATTGGAACTGACTCAATAGCACTGAGAAACAATAACTCTATAATAGGGGACTTCAACAGTTTCTTGGAAAAATTTCATTATTGGCTAGAACTGGAATAGTAACTGATCCTTTCAGACTGAACATGTTTTCTCTAGTTCCTTAAAGTCTCCGGGCTTCACTTACACAGTGTATGCGTGTGTGTCTTCTTACATGCATTCCAAAATGCTTATCTAATTTATGGCCCCTGTAGTTACTTGGGGATCATACTTGGGCCTACTGAAAATACTGACACACTGCCGTATCCAGATAATAGTGATAATAAGCATTTTCACTTTTGTTCTTTAATTTATTTAACTAACCATAAACCTGCAATTTATCCCTGATTAATAAAGTTATATGCTGTTGTTGTTGAGTGTCATTGAGTCTGTTCTGACTCATAGCGACTCTGTATAGAGTTTCCGAGGAGCAGCTAGTATGTTTGAACTGCCAACCTTGTGATGCACAATCCAGTGCTGATCCTACAGTTCCACACCAGAATACATGACATTATCACATTATAGGTAAAGAAACTCAGGTTCAGTGAGGTATATAAATAATTTAAGGTCTCCATGTCACAGCTAGAATATGAATTTAGAACTTATATCTCTTTTTGTCTGTTTGAAACTTTGATTTTTTTTAAAAAAATGAATCCCTTTCTTCAGATCAAGTCTTAGAAATAGTCCAGTATATGAAACTGATAAAGGGGGGATGACCATGTAGGGTTTGGACTCTGCATGCTAAGCTCTGTGGTCATCTTTAGATCCTGGAATTCCTTGGATTCTACTAAACATTTGGACACTCTGTATACCATGAACATAACCATTTTTGAAACTTTTTGAGATCTTGGCTTCTTTGAATGTCATTGTTACAGTATTCTTAATTTTCTCTAAAGCTCTGACTATATGTCTTCCTCAGTGGAATCCCTGTTACCACTCAGCTACTCAGTGGCATTTTTGGTTCATGTGGACATGTGTTCAGATAATGGTGAATCTTTTACCTTCTGTTTCTGTTTTCAAGAGTGTTTTAATCAGAATTTTAGGGTGATTAGTAATTTAATTTATTTTGGAACATCTGATAAATAACTCTTCTCTCTACTTTTCAGATTCTCTTTGTGGCCAGATGGGTTTGTATGGACAAGCTTGTCCATCTGTAACTTCATTAAGGTGAGTGCTCTTCATTTTTTTCATTGGAACATGTAATTTTTAGTTATCCTGTTCAGATCATACTACAGTGAATTTCAAGAGGTTCATAACAAAATATAATTTGTATTGTCAAGTAGTACTATTGGTAGTAGGATTTGGATCTGTTACTAATCCTCCATTGAATGAATATATTCTTTCTTAAAAATAACATACTTTTTTATACTTTGTCATTTATTTTTTTTAAATGAATCTACTTTATGTCTTCATTAGAAAATGGATAGTTCATTACTAGTATATTATTAAAGACAATTTAGAGATACTAATTTTGAACCTCTTTTTAAAGTATGATATAAATATTGTGCCTAGATTATACCCTCATTTACAATAAATAAAATATATTAAATGTAAAAGATAGGAACTAAATTAGTATATACAACCCAGTGGTTTCTATTTTTTTTAAAGTCTCCAGATTCTTTCTACAAACTAAATCTTAACTGAAGGCCAATGAGAAAGATAGGTTGAATGATTTTCTGTTTGCTTAGGCTTCTTTCTGTGTTCTGCATTCACCCTTGATCCTGAAAAATCACTGAGATTCCACAGAGGACAGTTTGAAAAATAACATAAATCCTGTCTTAATTGCAGTCTTTCATATTATATTATGAAGTGTTGCTGACAGCAGCTACATGTTGTATTCCAAACAGCAATATCATTTAGCTAGTTCATGGTTGAGTATCTACTGTGTTTCCATGCCCTATTCTAAATGCTGAGGCTACAGCAATGAGCACAGCCAACAAACCTTACAAGCATAAAGTTTACATTCTGATGTTATTGTTGTTAACTGCCATTGAGTCGGTTCCAACTCGTAGTGATCTTGTGTAGAGTTTACGAGGAGCATCTGGTGGATTTGAACTGATGGAGGGACAATAAATAATAAGCAAGATAAGTAAGAAAGAATAAATAAGATAACTAGGATAGATCGTGTTAGTGATAAGGGCTAAGTAGAAAAATAAAATAGGGAAGGAGGAATAGGCAATATGGGAGGATATGTTATTTTTTGATAAGGTAGCCAGGGAAATAGGAGCTCTGGTAGCGTAATGTTTGTGAGTTGGGCTGCTAATCTCACGGTTAACAGTTTGAAACTACCACTGGTTCCATGGGAGAAAGATGAGGCTTTCTGTTCCCGTAAAGCTTTATAGCCTTGTAAATCCTATAGAGGGTCACTATGAATTAGAACCGACTCCATGACACATAACCACCACCAGCCAGGGAAAGCTTTACTGAAAAGGTGACACTTGAATGAAAACTTAAAGAAATGATGTTATTGTTGTTAAGTGCTGTTGTCGCTTCTGCTCATAGCAATCCTGTATAGGGTTTCTTGAGCAGCTGGTGGGTTTGAACTACCGAATTTGTGGTTCGCAGTCCATTGCTGTTCTTACAGCATCATAGAATGAGCCATGTATTGGTATGTGGCAGTTGAGCATTCCAGGCAGAGGAATTCAGGAAATGCTAAGGAAGGAAGCTTCCTGAGAATTTTGTGAACAGTGAAGAAGTCAGTGTGGCTGGAGAATAAGTGAAGAGATTTGGAATTGCCTAACTTTGGAGGGGAAAAAAAAAGAGAGAGGGCATGTAAGATTGCTAGAACCGTGAATGCGTCAAGGAATCCTTAAGGTTTGAAAGAAATTCTGTTTATCTGAAATGCTACAAAAGAAAAATTAACAGTGAAATTGCCTTCATAGTTTTTATGTACTCAGTAGAATTGGTTCCCTATATGCCATTATGGCATTTCTTACCATGATCATGCATCTTTCATCATATGATAGAAATAGGTTTTATATTGAAGATCTTAAAATGTAGAGAGAATGGTGTTGAAGTCATTGTCAAAAAGAACATGTCCAGATCAGTCTGTGATAGGATAATATCCACGCGCCTACAGAGAAGACCAGTTAATACCACTATTTTCAAGTTTCCGCACCAACCACTAAAGCCAGTGAGGATGAAATAGGGTCACTATGAGTCAGAACCAACTCTAGAGTACTTAACAACCCAGTGAGAGAAACTGGCAAAGTGGCAGCATCAATGGGCTCAAGTGTGGCAGCAATTGAGAGGTTGGCCGAAGACCGAGCAGTGTTTCTTTCTGTTGTACGTAGGGTCGCTATGAGTCGGTGCTGAACCGATGGCACCTAACAACAACAAGGATAAGGTGGTTATAAAGTGAATTTAATCTCCCTGCATCCCAAATACTTAAACAAGTTAGGTATTGTTTTATATTGTTAAATATATGTTGATCATATTTGAGCCTCGTTTAATCTGTATTTGCTAATTAAGCTTGTTTAAAAATTACATTTACTACACTTTTATGATTAAAAAGTAATACTTGTTCATGGTAGAAAATTTGGAAAGACTCAGGTAGCCATTTTTAATATCTTTGACATATATGAATTTCTTAACAGTAAATGCTCTTGTAAATTAGAAAAAAGATCTTCCTAGTCTTTTTTTTTTTTTATTTTTAATTGTATGATAGTTTACATGGGAGAACATTGGTTTTATACCGTTGTTTGATTGCCATGCTAATCTTTAAAAAAATTTTTTTGTAAATGCTCAAG